GTTCGGCGGTGCGCCACGATGGCCGCTTCTTCCTGATGGGCCTGTTGGAGGGGGAGGGGGTCCTCCTCCTCCTCCTCCTCCTCCTCCTCCTCCTCTTCGTCCTCCTCCGTAGCCATTTTGGCTCAAGGCCCAGCCGTTCTGGCTCAGACCTGTTTCAGGTGCTGGGCTTGCAGCAGCAGGATTCAGAGCGGCAGTCGCTGCTGCGAGTCATCGTCCTTTGTGGCTACAGGTTTCAGGCCTTGCGCAGGCCCCAGTATACGCGCCCAGTCGCTGGGCTTCCATGGCAAATGGCGGAGGCGGAGCTGGAGAAGTTCTGGCGGGCCCCCGCTCTCCCACCTGGGCATGCGGAGCTTGTGGGAGGAACGCTAATTGGGCGTGCCGCATCACATGTCTATGTGGCGAGCGCGCACCAACAGACGTGGTTCGTCGTGCTCGTGAGCGTGCTGGCGGTGCTGCTGAGCGTGGGCCTCTTCGGCGCCGCGCACCAGCAGGAGCCGACCCGCTCCAGCAAAATATCGACGCACTTCAGAAGAAGTACGACGCACTGGTGGCCAAGAACAATGGGGTTGCCCCGCCTGCGGCCGCCTCTTCCACGGAGAACAAGGAGCTTTCTCCCGCAGACAAGCTCAAGGATAATATCAAGCAGCTGGAGAGCTCGCTGTCAGCGTGCAAGACGCTGCCTGATGAAGTCGGGAAGGAAGCTTGTGAGTCTTTGGAGAAGCAACTGGTTGACGCCGGCAAACAGTTGGCGGCGACAAAGCCAGAGCTCACTCAACACACTAATGTCGGACATCGGCTTTCTCGTGCGACGACACGCAAGAGCAAGCTTGAGCAGCAGGTTTCCGAGCAGCTGGAGATCATACGTGCAGCCGAAGAACGCGCTGATACCCTTCGTGCGCAGATCAAGGCAGCAGAAGAGGAGATCTTGTTGCTTAATCGTGAACTGGTCGATACGTTACCATTGGCGCCTAAGGTCAATTTGGAGGTCGATCCCAACGTCTTGGCTCAGCATCCTCAAGCAGCAGTGCTCAAGACGTTCATGGAGTCAGGAACGTTCAAGATCTTCGCTGAGGTCCTGGGCGAGAGCATCAACGCCCGTGAGCCTCCCAAGCCAGCGACAGCTGCCTCGCCTTTCACTGCCCCGTCTGGTGGCGCGAGTCAGGCTCATGGCAGTGATGCTGGTGCTAGCGGGGCAGGTGGTGGTCGTGACGGAGCCGACGCAGATGCAGGTGGAGTTGGAGTTCGCGTCCCCGATGACATGGAACTCGATGACCTCGACGACACCACCATCGACAGTATCCTCACCGCTGCTAGAGAGGAGGGTTTTGACAAGAGTACCTTTTCTGAGCGGTTCGGCGGTCAGCTACGCCGCGTCAAGCCTCGTGTTTAACCAGAGCCAGCCTCTTTGCTGCGGGCTCAGACTTTCTAAATTCGGAGTTCCTGCTCCACCTCCGCCCCCCTCCATTCCTTCGACTCCGCTTTCCTCAGAGCTCGATGGCCTGGGCAGCTGCTTCGAAACGTATAATGGCAACTGTTGGTCCACGTTACGCGACCGTCTGAGGATATCTTCGGCTAGTATTTTGCTGGCGCAGGAGGTGGGCTTCCTCCAGGAGCGAGAGGGTGAAAAAGCTAGCTCTGCGGGGGCCCTGGGATGGAAAATGCTTTCTTCCCCATCCCTCCCTGGTGAGGGCAACCGAACCAGGGCGGGGGTGGCGGTCTTCGTTCGCTCACACCTTGGCCTTAGATGGCCTGCGGATCGGAAGGGCATCTTGTACCCTGGTAGGTTGATCCACGTTGTCGTTGATCTGCCAGGATGGCCCCCTCTGCAAGTGGTGTGCGGGTATCTCAAGAGCGGCGCTGGAATGTGCAAGTTGAATTTCCAGTTGCTTCGTCTCATGGGAGAACGTCTCCAGGGCGAACACATGTTTTTGGTGGGTTGCGACTGGAATCTCGACCCCAGCTTGGTTGATGCCTCGGGTGTGTGTCGTCGTACGGGGGGGGCGTTGTTTGTCCCTGGCCAGAAAACTTGCCTCTCCCCGCAACGTCTCTCTACGATCGATGATTTTTTGATGAGCTCGGGCCTTGCGAAGGCCACCGATGGGGTCCAAGCGGACCTTGAGTGGGCCCATAGGCCCCACCGCCCCGTCGCTTTGAAACTCAAGGAGGATGCTGTTCGATGTTATCAGTTGCAGTATCGAGCTCACCAGCGTCTTCCCACTCGTTTGCCCATAGACCTGTGCCACAACCGCAGGACTGGCGCCTCGCTCGGGGGATCGCTGAGGCCGCCGCCGAGGCTGCTCTAGAGGCGCCGGTCGGCCAGGCGTGGGCTTTGCTCTCTGTCGCGTGGCAGCACTTTGCCGACGCCTTCGAGCTTGAGCTCGAGAGCTACACTGGAGAGGTTGTGAGGTGTAAAGGTTTTCGAGGAGATTATCTGACACCCAAATGGGTCCCGATTTTTGCCAAACCCCGTGCTTTAGAAATGCTTTCGGTCTCTCGGGGATGGATTTGGCTGGCCCAGCACCTCAGTGAAACGGTGGGGGCCTCTGTGAGGCTCCATCAGTCCTACACGAGGGCCGCCGAGGACTCCGACGGGCTTGAGGATATCACGGCCCGTGATCAGATGCTTCAGGATGTTCAGCTCCAAATTCAGCAGCTTTTAGGTCTTCCTTGCCCAGGCGAAGGAGGCGACATTCGCCTCGATTCGACCCTGCGGCAGGCACGCAGCCTGGCGAGCAAGTTCCCCTCGTCAGGCCCTTTGAATGGCTGGTGAGACGAGTGCCAGGAGTTCTCACAGTCGTGGGAGGACGACCTCCTCTCGGCCAAGCAGGCCATTGTTAAGCAGCAGCAGGGCGGCTGGGATCAATGGCAGGAGCAGGCGCTGGAAGGAGGCGCCAGGGGGATGCATCGCCTTACTAAGTTAAAAGCTAAGTGGAATCCCACCGTGGTTCAGACCCATCCTGGAGTTTTCAGCAGTAATCCTCAGCTCCTCCTTCGTCGTGAAGGGGAGGAACTGGCTAAGTTTTGGCACGCGTCTCACGTGCCCCCTGAAGTTTTCGTGCCCGACCGTGTCCACCTGCCTCGGCCGACGGCTGCTGAGCTAAGGAATGCGTCGAGCAGTTTCAGTCACCACACGCCCCAATCCCTCGATGGCTTTCATCCTCGTCACTGTAGCCTCGGGTCGGACGCGGCTCTTGAAACTTTCGCGGCGCTTGTTCAAGCGATTGAGTCCCTGGGCCTCTTCCCTAAACAACTGTTTTGGCTCCTTTTTCCCTTGCTTGAAAAACCGAAAGGGGGCCTGAGACCCATTTTGTTATGTGCGGGACCCGTTCGTGTTTGGGAGAGATTGCGGCGCTCCGTCATTGTAGATTTCAACGATAGGTATTCTCGCAAGTATTGGGCCTTCGGACCAGGTAGGAGTGCTGAGGGCGCTGTGTGGCATCAGGCCGTTCGGGCCGAGGTCGCGCACCATGATGATAAGGCTACGGGGGGATTCATATGGGACGGGAGTAAGTATTACGAGTCCTTCGATCTCTCCGTGCTGCGCCAGCGCGCCTTAGATTATGACGTCGACGCTACGATAGTGAAGACGACGTATAATTATTGGCGAGGCCCGCGTATGTTGCGGCTTGGTGCCCAATATGCTGCTGTGCCCTACTTCGCCTCTTCGGGTTTACCTGCTGGCGATATCTTTAACGATGTCTTCGTTCGCGTCTATAGCATCGAGGCCTTTGATAAGTTCGTAGCCAGCCATGGTGATGTGTGGATATCCTCTTACGTTGACGACGACAGCGTGACGACGGAGGGGACGGAGGAGGGGGTGATTAGCAACGTTACCCGAGCAGCAGCAGCTTTGTTCATCATCTTTAGAGATGAGCTTCGTGTCGCTGTGCATCCTGACAAAGTTTGCACGTTTGGTAGTTCGCTCACGCTGGCCGAGAGCATCGCGCGGCATCTGGGGCACATGTCAGGGCAAGTATCTAACAGTGTGGTCTCCCTCGGCACCGATCTTGCTCCTGGCCAGCGTCGTTCGGCACCTAGAGCACTGTGGAGACGACGGGCCCGCCTTCGTGATATGCGTCGGCGGCACCGCGCCCTCCAGCGATATCGTCATGCCCTTCCTCGCCAGAAAGGTCGTATCGGGAAAATATATGTCGCTGGAGTTTTGCCTGCGGCCAGTTTTGGATCGGGGGTGATAGGTATGAGCAACCAGGAACTCCAGCAGGCTCGACAGGTCCTCTTAGCCTACAAGCCCCCTCGCCACCAGGGATGCTCTTTGCACGCCAAGCTCGCCATCCTAGGCGATCCTGTGTGGCGCGCTGCGGTTGCTCCTGTGCTTCACTGGGCTGGCGTAGTGTGGGCGGCGATCACGTGTCCACAAATATCCCAGTACACGGTTAAGGATTTGTGCTCTATCTGGCGCACGATACCCTTCGATGATGATGTCACCTGGCGGTCCTCTAGGGGACCTGTGCAGCGTATGCATCTCAGCCTTCATAAGCTGGGGTGGGTTTCTACGTCGGCCTTGACTTTTCGCGACGATAAGGAGAGAGAAATACATTTAGGTTACACCTCCCCTTCTATGCTCGCTCACCTCCTGGATCTCGCTTCCCAGAGGGCCCACGAGCGGGCCCTGGCCGAGCACGCTCCTGGGTTTGGTGGTGATCGTGTTTGTGTTGAGCCCCTCAAGAAAATTCTGGGGCCCCAAGGGAAGGGCCTTGGCCCTCGGGAGAAATATCTGGCTCTCACTTGTTTTTGTAAGGGAGTGTGGACTCGTACGCGAGCTCGCGCCTGTGGGTACCAGGCTGACGGCTTGTGCCCACTTTGCGGGCAGACCGACAGCGTGCGCCACCGACTATGGCAGTGCATGCGCCCGACGGCGGCTGCGGCACGAGCCGAAGCGCTTGACGGAGTTCCCGTCGAATGGCATGCGGAGGCGCTAGAGAGCGAGGGTCGGCTTTTCTTTGATGGGATGAAATGGTCCCACCCTGAAGCCTCGTGCC